GTAAATAATAACAGGAACTGTATAGTAAATAGTAACAGGACACAGCTATGAAGAGCTTTCTAGGTGCCATGGACTATTCCTAGTGCTTGATGCATATAACCTCATTAATCTTCACAACAACTCACTCAATGAAGTAGCTACTATCATCACTTATTTTCCATTTTAAAGATCAGGCAACTGTGGTACACAGAGGTTACATTACTCATGACTAAATAGCAAGGCTAGGCCTTGAACCCACTCTAGCTTCAGAGTTTAAGTTCTCAATCATTCATTGCTGCTCTTGTTTTCCTTCCAGGGTTTTGAATTTGTCAACCCAGATGGATCCATCTACTCAGGCTTTGACTTTGGCTGCCCTCTGCCTTAACCCTGGAATACAACTTCTGTTATTGGCTTGTGGATCTGACTCACCTGTAAAGAAACCCCATGGTGGGCCAGATAGGAAAAGGGAGATCAAGCAATGTTCTTTTACAGCCCTGTGTCTTTTCTCATGTAGTTCCTACTTTCAGAATGCTCCCCTTTTCCCTTCTCTGACTGATTTCTTTTTGAAGACTTCCATTGTTCCCTCTGACAGGTTGTTCACTTCTTCCTCCATGTGTCTGTAGTTCTTTGAATGTATGTGTTCCCTCTATCACCATTCCTCGTAGATGTCTACCTCTGCTCTCAATTGTGAGCTCCTCAAGACACAGACCATATCTTATTCGTTTCTGAGTCTCCAGCACTATGTGTGGAACATGGTGGGGTACAATAGATGATTCTTGACTGAATGAATGAAGGTGCTGGAAAGTAAACAGAGCAGCTGCTCTCCACTCTATGTGAACAACATAATTTTTCACTATCTTGATGAGCTGATATAAAAGGGGCAGAACTTTTAAAAGAATCTTCTTAACCTCTAACCTCAAGATCTTTATCCTAGTGTTTAACCAAATTTATATTATTATTATTTCACAAACACCTCTCTATGCCCTTGACATTAATTGTTGGAATCAAGAAGGTACACGTTTCACATTATTACCGTTCATTGTTTATTGAAATGAATTCTATTAAAATGTCACTACTTCATTAAAGTTCTGTGATTAACAAAAGTTACAGGTTACCAAAAGAAATTTAATTAAAAGAGTACTCAAAGTACAGAAAGATGAAAGGTAATTTTGATTTGTTAGAAAGACTGACATGACCACCAGGACTTGCATTTGGATGTTGTTTTAGAAGGACACAAAAGACTCAGAGTAACTAGGGAAGCCAAAGAAAATGAAATGGACAAAAATAGAGATAGAGCTAATACGATATCTTACTCTGAAAGGAATAATTTTTAGTACTTTTTTTTTTGTTGTTGTTGTTCCTGAGGAACCAATCATGTGGCAGATCTTGTGAAATTTTATATTAGTTCTTCAATTTCCTGAACTTGGGATGAGACTACCTCACCATTCACCACCTCTTGCACAATTGTCTTGATTTTTCGGGTTTTGCTTGAGTCTAATAAAAATTAAAGAAGGGGTTGAAAAGTTACTGTTCCATGTATTAATCCACAATTTGTTGTTATTTAATTTAAGCTTCTAAATTATGTAGCTGCTAATAATAAACGATGAAATTTAAACTTTTGAAAGTGACTTTTCTATTTTTTTGAAGCTGCATTTTGTCCAGTGGAAATGAAATACATTCAATGTTGTTTTGTGTATGGATGAAAACATTTTTCTTTTTGAATATTTAAAAATTTAATACAGTCTGCACTGTACAGCCTACTCATTTTGGTACAGGATGGCACGAATACAGATATGCCTAAAATTGCTAATACTGCAACACTGAATGAAATCTTACAGCTTCATTCATTCCTAAATATGATTCTGACTTATCCGAAGTGGTTCCTGGGGAATCTGCATACCTTTGGAGGAAGCAATTGACTGTGCTTGAGATTTGGAGTCTGTCACAAATGAACTTTCATCCAGTCCATCACTATAAAGAAAACAAGGAACAATGACATCATACGATGGTTTCTGGAATCAGTGGGCCTGAGGGGAGTGTGCTATTTGAGTTAAAAATTAGAATGTTACTCAAAACTGACCAGAAGATTTCTTGACTAATAATGCTTGAATGATGCCTCCTGAGAGTAATCTTTTGGTGCAATGCACCTGTATTTGCAAACCCTGCCTAAAAAGGGCTGTCATAGTGCAATTAATGGAAGATCTGGTCTGAGAAGTTAGCTTTCTCAATTTATAGTCTTAAAGTTCTTCTCACTACTCCAGACTGCTATTGCTTTAGAAAAGGTTGCTAAAGAAGGTCGGAGATGGTTCAGAAGGCTATTTGATGTTTCATTTGGTATTGGGTCATTGATGTCTGAAGCTGAATGCCTGCACACGGAAGTACTCATGTACAGTATGCCTGTCTACTCAATGCTTTCGTTCATGGCAGCATTTTATAAATGATTATCAAATGAGACGAGGGAATGAATGCATTTTGCATATAATAAATACGTAAGAGGCATACCCTTATTAGAGTCGTTATTTTTTTTTGTCAACCAGAGCACTTCTCCTTTCCTTATATTGCAGCAAAACCTGCTCCCCGGGGTCGGCTGTTGTTCAGCCATTGCTTTTCCACCTGTTATGGGATTTACCCCTCGGGCTCCCCGTCCAGCAGGCGGCGGTAGGTCTCGATCTCCAGCTCCAGGCGGGCCTTGACTTCCAGCAGCCGCTGGTGCTCCGCGCTCTGACGCTCGGCGTCTGCACGCACCTGCAGCAGCTGCGCCTCCAGGCAGCCGATGAGCTCCTGGAGCTGGGACAGCTGGCCACAGTACTCGCCCTCCGTTTCGGCCAACGAGTCTTCAAGAGATTTCTTCTGCAGTGGAAAGGAAATGGCACAGATTTACCAATGGAGTGGGCGCATTTTCTTGGGAAGTCAAAATGATTCTGTGCCTTTAACGCGACCCCTACCATGGCGAGCTGAGACTGGAGCTCGAGCTCGAGGTTTTGTAAGGTGCGCCTCAGCTCGGTGACCTCGCTCTTGCTGGACTGCAGCTGCTCCTTGTTTGTGCTGATCTCCTTCTTGAGCTCCCCGCTCTGCAACAGCAAAGAGGCGGCGAGGCGACGTGAACCCCTCAACCTTCACAAATTACAGCCAAGGTATCAAAGTCGTTTTGTCTTGGTTTGTGTAACCTTTTCAAGGAACCAGCCTTCCGCGTCCTTCCGGTTCTGCTCGGCGATGGCTTCGTACTGCGCCCTCATGTCGTTGAGGAGCTTCGTGAGGTCCACTCCCGGGGTGGCGTCCATTTCTACGCTGACTTGGCCGGGGCTGCCCTCTCGGAAGCTTTGGAGCTCCTGGCAACAGCAAGCGAGACAAGGGTGCCAAAAGCGCATTATGGCTTTCATAGGCCCTACACACTTTTGCCTTCACGAACCCCTTCCTCCATAAAGCGTGCTATTTTACCAACAGATTGGGATAAAGACAAATATATCAATACAATATATTAAAACATTTCCTTTACCTAAAGTTTTCATATTTTTCTTCTGATTTGAAAAGAATTGAAAACGTTGTCATGGACCCCTACAAGTATCATGGGCCTAAGAGCTGTTTTTCCTGTGCCTAATGGGTGAATTGGCTGTGTGGGGGGGATTGGGCATCTGCAGGGTCAAGGGGCCTAGTGTTTGCACTGAACACTGGAGGCTTTCAACTGTAACTACCAAACCCTGCAGAGCTGCAAACAGTGCCTAGGCTTGCACACCGTTAGGGCCATTGAAAATCCTATAGCAACCAACCTCTTTAGAGCCCTATTGCCAGGGTCATGGTCAATGTCCATTCTGTATACCAACCAGCTACTTGTGGTATATCTGTGTTGTATGGTATGTGTGTATGTGTGTGTTATGCATGTTATTGATAGACTTTTGTTTTTTATCTTTCAAAATACACTATTTAAAAAAAAAATCACTAAATCAGAAAAATTGTAATTCTTATTGTCATTACCTAATGATTAAAATGGTAAAATCAGAAAGTCCCTCTAATCTGTTAAACCCTAACAGGAAGCACCATCAACACCACCATAACCACAACCACCACCATAACCACAACCACCACCATAACCATCACCACCATCATAATCATCACCACCATCATAACCATCACCACCACCATAACCATAACCACCAGCACCACATATGCACACACACTCCCAGAAATCCAGAACAAAAGGGCCAGTTTAACAGGGAGACATGAACCCAACCCAACCCACTGCTATTGAGTCGATTCTGAGTTTCTGAGGCGCCAATAGTATCCTCCATATTTGTTCTACTTGAGATTTGTAGATTTGAAATTATGTTTTTCAGGTCTAGGAGAAAAATACCAGCCTACCAGCCACTCCTCGGAAGGAAGGTTGGGCAATCCTATTTCTGTAGTGGCACACAACAACAACAACAAAACCGCCTTGGAAACCCAAGGAGGGGTTGCTATGAGTCTGGGCCCACTCAATGGCATATAACAACAACAACAACAACAGAGAGGCTGCACTTTCTGGCTGACCTCCTCGTGGTTCTTCTTCAGGTAGGCCAACTCTTCTGTCAGGTTCTCGATCTGCATCTCCAGGTCGGCTCTGGTCAAGGTCAGCTCGTCCAGCACCCTGCGCAGGCCGTTGATGTCGGCCTCCACACTCATGCGCAGAGCCTGCTCATTCTCGTACCTGGAAACCAAATACAAGATGATTCAGGGAATCAACACAACCATTTGAATAAGGTCTCAGCTCTTTTTGGGGCTATTTTGTACATAAATGTGTGTGACTGTTTAAAAATGGCAGCATCACAATGTATTTTTTTTTGCTTGTATAACATTTTCTTTTTTTTTTATGATCATTTGTTGGTTAATTGGAGAAAACCACCCCAACAGCACTGCATCCCAACGGAACAAAATGTTTTTTTGGTGGCTGCTGTAGCCATGAACCTAGCAGCTCCTATCTAGGTGGAGTTTCCGATGGCACCCTGAAAGCAATGGAAAATAACATCATAATCCATCTTGTTGCTTAACTTTTATGGCTTAATTCAAAACACTGATGCGTTATTAGCTTTTACCAAGATTTTATAGATTCAGGACTGTTACCACTGTTACTGTCTGTGGAAATTTTGTAGAGCAGAAAGACTAATACTGTTTCTTCCTTATGGCAAGTGGTACAGGGGATAGAGAAGACGAAGGGACTATCAAAACAAATGTTTCATTAATATTTCAGGAAAATGATTGTTTCATTTAACTCCCCAGGCAAAAAGCATTATTAATTTATCTTGATACTTGGGAAGTTGAGATATAGGACATCAGTAGAATTATCATGTCACATCATGAGTCATTGGCAGATTACAAATGCAGTGACCCTGGGTTTAAGTAACTTATAACTTAGGTCATGTAATGTGAATTGTATTCGAATTAAATTACTTTCCAGAACGACCTACGCAAAATTACCAAAAACGATAAATGTATGGAGCATGTGGAACTTCAAAAGGTTTGAAATACTTACCGTCAATGACAGTAGGGAAATAGGAAATAAGAAGGAATGATGTGACATCAGTTAACGTCAGTTTTTCTTTTATTTTACTCACTTCATTCTGAAGTCCTCGGCAGCCAGTTTGGCATTGTCAATCTGCAAGATGAGCTGGGCATTCCCGATGCTGGCAGAAATGATCTGGCAAAACAGGAGACGTGCAAAATGAGATCCTAAAATACTAGTGTTAACTTATGTATGTTCCTGACAGGGAGATTTTTAGGTGATTTAAAAATGCTAAGGCAGTTTCATTTTCTTCTAAGAAAATACATTTATAAAATATTCTTTTAAAATTAAGAAACACATTTCTATTTTTTAAAAAAAGTAGTGGAAATACACTTTATGGTAAATGATGAAATGGAATGAAACATCTTAAAATGAGGATTGCTCAATACAATCAAATTGAATAGTATCTCTAAGTTTTAGGTGATTATCACTGTAAGATACTGTACTAGTAAAAACTAAAGGTGAAAAATAATTCTCAAAGCTCTTCTGAAAAACACATTCTTACCTTATTCCTGAAGTCTTCAATTAACGTATAATATTTACTGTAATCATTCTGTGAGCCGGGGTCTCCAGCCCCAGACCCTCGTGTTTCATACCATTCTCGAATTTTATTTTCTAGCTCAGTATTCGCCTCTTCTAGAGCTCGAACATTATCCAGATAGGAAGCCAATCTGTCATTAAGATTTTGCATGGTTTCCTTCTCTGATCCAGAAAGAAGGCCTCCATCACTGCCAGAGGGAATACCTAGGGAGCCACCTCCTGGGCTTCCTCCAAAGCCTGCCCCCAGGCTTCCAAAGCCATCCCCCAGGGATCCTCCATAACTAGCGCCAGAGGCCCCTGCAAAGGAACTTGCTGAGCCACCACCAAAGCCAGAGCGAGAACCAAACATGGACGCAGCAGAAAAACCTCCTCCAAAGCTGCCTCCAAAGCTTGAGGGGCTTCCCCCATAGATGCTTCCAACACTGGAAGTGGACATGCCCCTGGCTCTGCCTGCTGCCCCGCTTTGGGAAGACAGTCGCTGGTGCAGCCCACAGGCACGCACTGAGAGTGACATGCTATTGCTGGGAAAATCCACAGCCCACGTAGCAACGACCTGAAAGGAATCAGTATTACTAAGGCAGAAAAGTCAACCTTTTATAGGCTGTTGCAGTTGAAAAGTTCACTCTCTCCACTCCAAATATAGTGACTCCCTCTTTTTTTTTTGGCTAGCTCAGCAAGTAAATGATTTATGCAAATTGAAAATTCATTGGCATAGAAATAATTCAATAATTGTGCTCATTACTTATTTGTTATACAAAACAAGGAGAGTTGGGTGGAGTAGAGAGGTTGTCATAAAGAATTCTTCTGCAAATTATTGCCAGTGTTCCCAGTACCACCCAGTATCTTACAGAGTAGGAAAGCAAAGATAGCTTGTTGGATGGGTTTGATAATGAATATTTCTTCCTAAAGCTTAAGTTTTTAAAATTTTTCCACTATCTTTCCTCCTTGTTTCATTTAAAAAACCAGTCACTCATAATATCATATATCTTTTAGTGGAATATAGTTTCAGAAGCAGTGCTCAGAAGCACTGAGGGAAGGTTAGGAATAGATGTGCTTTCCATGTTGATGTTGGATTTGGATTTTCAAGGATTTTAAGGCCTCATCATTAGGCTGTTGAATGGTTTCTTTTTCTGATTCAGAAAGACGACCTCTTAAAATCTTCCTGGGGATTGAATGAAAGAGACCAATAAAGTGTATGGGACAAGAACTATTCTCATTTTAATGACAAATATTAAACCCATTGCAGTTCAGTGGAGTCCAACTCATAGCTATCCTACAGGACAGACATGGTAGACCTGCCCCATAAGGTTTCCGAGGCTGTAGAATGGGAGCTCTGGTAGCATAGTGGCTAAGGCACTTGACTGCTAACCAGAAGGCTGGCGGTTCAAACCCACCAGCCACTCCTTGGAAGGAAGTTTGGGCAATCCTACTTCCGTAGTGATACTGCCTCAGAAACCCAAGGAGGGGTCGCTATGAGTCGGGGCTGACTCGATGGCAAAACAACAACAACAACAACAATCTTTACAGAAGCAGACTGCCACATCTTTCTCCCAAGGAGTGCCTGGTGGGTTCGAATACTGCCCTTTAGGTTAGCAGCTGAGCCCTTTAACCACTCTGCCACCAGGCCTCCTCAATTACTAAATAAATATTCGAATATAAAGATTCAGAAATAAGACCTTTTTTTTTTCTTTCTGCTTGAAGAAATGTAAAATAATTCCATTAAAAAAATGAAAAGGAATTTGAAGTTAGATTTTCTTAGTGTCATACGATAAAATTAGTGCTTTATGATTTTAGGTTTGAGTAGAACATCCCTGTTGTTTTAGAAGTTTTTTTCTTAATATAAGAATTAACTTTCTTAGTAAATGCCATGAAATTAGGGGCCTTGTCAACTCCGTACCCAGCACTTAGTATATTTATTCCTTAACCAGATATTGCACATAACTATTAACCAGATACCACTCAGTCATGGTGACCCCATATGTCAGAAGAGAACTGTGTTCCCTAGAGTTTTCAGTGACTGATATTTTGGAAGTAGGTTGCCATTGTGGCTTTTGTATCAATCCTTCTCATTGATGATTTCCCCTATGTTTCACAGGAGCTCTGGGAGCCAGTGCCTAAGGCACTTGACACTTGACTGCTAACCAGAAGGCTGGCCATTCAAACCCACCAGCCACTCATTGGAAGGAAGGTTGGGCAATCTACTTCTGTAGTGATACCGCCTTGGAAACCCAAGGAGGGGTCGCTGTAAGTCAGGTCGGACTAGTGGGCACATAACAACAACAACAACTTGTTTTTCATTGACCTTCTACCAAACACAATGTCCTCTTTTAGGGATTGGTCTTTCCTGATGATATGTCCAAAGTAAGTAGAATTTACTCCTTTAATGTGTTTAAATGTGTCATTTAAAGTTTATTTGATTTGAAAATGACTATGCTCTGGATTCTCTGACCCAGATTTATTCTGAATCCCGTTATGAATGGAGAGCAACTTCAAAGTGGAAGGCGAAATATTTCTCATTCGGGTGGTTGTGTGTGTGTGTGTGTGTGTGTGGGTATGTGTGTGTTGTCCGTGTCAGCTGTAGCTCAGAGAGAAATTTAATAAAAGGATAGCAGCTAGTAACCTTGCAAGGTGGAGACACATGGAGCCAGAGGCATATGTGTCTCCTGAGCCTTACAGTCTAGGGGTTTTCATAGTAGTTTTTAAGGCCGTGGTGTACATGATTTCGAAAGACCATGTGTAGGCAGGTATTCATAAAATCCTGACCCTTTTGTGAAGGTCAGGTAGCAGAACAAAGTTGTGATAAATTCCTAAGATGGGTCTCAGCTTCCTTCAGGCTAGGAGCATGCACAGTCTGCTGTTTGCCCTTGGTTCGAGTCTTGGTCTCATCTTGGACTGGCCATCTTAGCTCATCATGTGGCAAAGGAGGGCAGGGGTGTGCAGGCTCCAAAACTGGCTAATGCTGGCCACAGATAGTGAACGGGAAGACATCTTAAGCATGGCCTGTTATTAGGAAAGGCCATTCAAGTAGTAAATTTATATTTGCATTATTTCTTTTGCAGTGTTTCTTCCTTAGTCTCATGATCTAAGAAATGCAGTTGCCCTGTTCTTTGAGCTATTCCTTTCT